GGTTTAAAATTTTGCATCTTTATGTTTTCTGAACTTAATTGTTGCATGGGCTGGTGGGATTTGGGGTGAGGATTTTGTAGGGCTTTGAATTGGAAAAAGAAAAGTGATAAAAATTGGGACTTTACTTCAATTTGTTTCTTTGCCTCTCCTCCCTGTCGCCATTCTGGTTGATTCGCTTCTTCCTTCGCGCAAGTGCTTGGTTTGCCCCTTTGTGTGTGTTGCATTTTTTTGTAATCCTCTGCTTCAATTTGCATTTTTCGGATAGCTGGATCCGACATTGATTTCCTATTTGTTTATTTATTTAAATGTCAGCTCCATGTTTTGGGCTGCCTATCCTGGTTTCGAGTATTTGGTCCTCATTAATCCCGAACAAATCTTCAATATCTTTCCAGTGACATTGAAAAAGGAATATATTGGTTCATCGAATTTCCGAGGCCAAATAACGTCAGGAATAAAAACCTTATTTTATTTTTATGTCTTCGTAATATTGTGAGATCCATCTTGCTATGATCTTTATCTCTTGTTTCCTTACATCCTTTAACCACTCTGGATCTTCCTTGGTTGAGAACCTTAGGTCTACATGATGAGCTTTTGCTCATAAAACACACAAATAAACAGAGAAAACAGTAATAAAAAGTATGAGATATTGTAAAGATTATACCCTTTTATATTTATGGGGTGATTATCTTAAATATTAGAGGGAAGGGGATAGTTTTAACAAAATTACTCTTATATTTCATGTTATTAATGACTCCTATATATGTTATTGTCTCTATTTGATTTTTTTTATTTGCAGAAAACATACAAATGGCTCTCTCAACATAATCTTATCATTAGATCTATTTTTGAGCATAAAGGCTCTATGATTTTAAAGAACATAATGTCTAAGTTACGAAGGGGTAAAGATAAGGGTCTTTGGATCACTCCTAATGTGAAGGAAAAGCTACACACTCATTGGGTAGAAGAAGAGTTTCAGAAGAAAAGCACTATTGCTAAACAAAATAGAGCTGTTGATGGTGGAGCATCTTTGTACACCAGTGGCTCTGTATCTGCTGTTGTGCATTGTAATAGAATGATAATTATTTAAATTATCTTTTTTTTAATCATTTCCTTCATTGGAACTTTACACTTGTATTATTATGCAGACTGAGCAACTTAAGCGCAACATTTGATATAATTGGAAAGACAAAAAAGAATAAAGCTAGAGAATGGGTCAATGATAAAGCCAAAAATATTGCAGTATATACCTTTCTAAATATTACTTTTTAAAAATTTTAGCCTCACTTTTATTATAAATTATGACTAATAAGCGTATTAATTTTTTAAGATGAGTTTATTCGACGTCGAACTGAAGCCCATGCGCATGACAATGATGATCATGGTGAAGAATGTGCCTCAGGTGGCCATTTTGTAGCAGCTGATAATGCCATTTTTATAGAAGTTGTTGGAGGAAAAAACAAGAAAGGTCATGTGTATGGGTTAGGACAATTTGGTGAAGAGTTTATGACATCATTCTCTCCTTGTACTCAGTCTGATCCTAGTTCTAGCATTAACTATCAGCAGATCATTGCCAACCTTAATGCAGAATTAGTAGCAAAGGACACACGCATTGATACTATGCAGTCTGAATTACAGAGGACCAATTCAAAACTACAGAAAACTGAGATCATTCTCCAACAAGTTGTTAAACACTTGGGAATTTCTACGAGTACCCAAATAGATGATTCTCATGTTGATGCTGATGATGTTGGTTCTCCTCATGATGGCATTGATCCGCATTCATGATTTAAGACTTTCTTTTTCTATTTGTTATGTCAATGATTGTACCCTTTTTATAAAATGAGCTACACTTTTGTTATGGAGTGAAATATGTATTGTAAAATGTATTTTACTTCTTTAGATGTATTTTTTTTACTATGTTTGTAAAATTGGACTATTAGCAAGTTTTGTTATATATCATGTCTTATATAAGCATGTTTTGTTATATAAATAGGTCTTATTAAAAAAATAACAATTTTAAAAAAGTAAAATTATTCATTATAGTTTACCACTAAATTTAGCCACCGAATTTAGCAACAAAATATTTGATAATATTTAGTCACCAAAATAGCAACCGAAAAAGATAGACACGAAATAGCAACCGAATTAGCCACTACCAGAATGCAACCATTTAGCAACCAAATTAGCAACCGAAATTTGGAGTTGCAATTAGCGACGGAATTAAATGGTTACAGTTAACAACCCAAATAGCTATCGCCTTCTTGGTGACAAATAGAGACCAAAATTAGCGACCGAAATTTAGCATTGCAATTAGGGACCGAATTAAGAGGTCACAGTTAGCAACCGAAATTGCTACCACCATGATTGTGACAAATAGCGACCAAATTAGCAACTGAAATGTGAAGTTGCAATTAGCGACTGAATTAAGTGATTACAGTTAGCAACCAAAATAGATACCACCTTGGTTGTGGCAAATAGCGATCGAATTTTTCGGTGGCTAAATTCAAATTTCTGCAACCGAATTCATTTTCAGTAGCTAAATATATTTGCAACCAACATATTAGCCACCAATTTTAATCGGTGGTTATTTTGGTCGCTAAAAAAATTAGCTATCGATTTTTATATTTTAGCCACCGATTTTTTCAGTCGCTAAATACCATTTTTCTTGTTGTGCAATATTAGATGCCCAATTAGCATCACACAGGGCTGTGATAGAGAAAGGTTTAGTGATTAAGGTTGGTTTCATGTGGAGACCATGAGAAAAAATTCCCTTAAATGTCTATGGATTCTTTTGACAATTGTCTAATGAGTGTCCAAAAGGTTAGACATGAATTGACAAACTTTGTTTACAACATAGTTGATTTCTGGTCTTGTATGAGTAACATATTGCATGGCTCCAACTACCGATCTATACAGAGTAAGATCTTGAAATAAATCTGATCCTGATTTGGATAGTTTGCAAGATGAGGCCATAGGAGATGATATAGGTTGAGCTTCAGCCTTTTTTGTTCTATGCAAAAGATCTTTGATATATTTACTCCAAGTCATTAGGAGTCTTGTCAAGAAGATATTTGATTTCGATTCCTAGAAAGTAGTCAAGAGTATCCAGCTACTTGAGAGAAAAATTAGAATGCAATTTCTGAGTTAGCTTCTAAATAAGAGAAACAGAGGTGTCTGTGACAATGATATCATCAACATATACTAATAAGTGAACAGTGTGAGAGTCATGCTTGTAGGTGAAAAATGAAGGATCGCATTTGCTTGAATGGAAACCAAGCTGCAAAAGAGTTGTTTTGTGTTTATCAAACCATTGTCGAGGTTCTTGCTTTAGGCCATAAAGGGCTTTATTGAGTTTCCATACCAGAGATTTATTTGAGATCTCAAATCCTAGAGGTTGCACCATATACACTATTTCTTCAAGGGTGCCCTTGAGAAAAGCAATGTTGTAACATCCTAAATTTTTAATTCTGAAATTACAACCTTTATTTGCATATAATCAGGATAAATGATATAAATCTCATATATATAACGGTAGTATGAAAAGAATATACAAGGAAAATAAATTTTTTTCAGAATTAAGGCCATTTTAAAATTTTACTATCAACATAATATAATGAATAAAATAAACTGTAATTTAATAACATAATATGTCAAAATAATTAAGGAAATATAGATGTTAAACTTTCACTTACATGTAATAAGTATAATAATGTACAAATTGTTGTTCACAATATACAGGACTTAGGATAAGAGTTATATAACCAAAATAAACTAAGTTTCAAAGCAATTATGATCCATATCCAAAACAAAGTAATAGGAAGTCTCACTGTTAATAAAGAAAAAAAAAAAGAGAGAATTGTAAGAAAAGTACCTATAGATATGAAAGAAACCAACGTTATTAGCATAAAAAAGATGAAAATATTCATAAGATGTGAGTTGAGCATATTTCATTTATAAGATATAAATTGTTAGACATTTTAAAATTTTAATTTGTGAGAGCGATTTACATATAATTGCTCTCTAAAAATGACTTTAGAGAGCAGTTAATATATAATCACTTTTCAAGTCTTTTTATAAAGTGAAATTTGATGTAGTGTAAAGGAAAGTATAATTATTTATGCATATTAACAGCAAGTGTATATTACCAAATCACTAAAAAGATTAATTAAAATATTTTTAAATTACAGCTTTAATATGTTGGAGATACAACTAGATTTATATAAAATATATGTTGGATTCTCTCACTAAGCTCCATTATGAAGTGGTTTTGCCTTCTCTTTGTCTTCACATTCCACAAGCAAAGAGGATTATGGGAGAGATGAACTCTTACATGGAGGCACATATATGAACATAACTTGTTTACCTTTTCTCCACCTTTAAATCAAGTCAAATTTCCTTCGCAAACTTATACAAACAGATATACTCTCTTAAATTAAAGAGAAGATTTAGATTTATGCTCAAAGTTTGTATCTTTGAAAAGAGCTGAAGGAGGAGGGTAAGGGAAGGCAAAGTAAAAAAGAGTAGAGATAATTATTAAAATAGAATAAGTCAATGGATGAAAAGTAAAGGACAGAGGATAGGGAAGTAAAAGAGAGAGAGAGAGATATGCAATTGTAGAGCTCCATCAGCAATAGTAAAGTTCAGCTGAAAAACGAGAAAGAAGAAAAATATAAAAGATAAGAAAATTTATTAACTTAAAAAATAAGAGACTAAAATTGTGCAGTTAATTTAAAAATGAGGCCCACTTGGTTGCAACAACAATTGACGTGTAAGGAAGATAATGCCACATATATTATCCGTGGCCGCTCCGGAAAATAGGGCGCCCCAACAAAGGCATGTGCTATGGAATTATTTATAATATTTTGTTTTCCCTCGCGGCTTTATTTCCGGATCCATCATGCATTCATTCATGGATATGGTCAACACCATAGTTAAAAGCCCCACCCACATTTCCCAAACAATTACAAATATCTTTCAAAACTCTCAACTTTGAGTTTTGGAATTTGTGATCATGGATCCACAAAATGCAGAGATGCTTCCACCCTCTCTTCTCACTCCTTCTGTCAAAGAACTCTCTAAGGAGCCACTAACCAAAGTTCCTCACAGATTCTTTCGCCCAGAAATTGACCCTTCAATTTTCTCTAACTCCCAATTTTCGCCACAACTCCCTGTCATAGACCTAAACCAGTTATTGTCTGAGGGTTTGAAGGGCCCTGAACTGCAAAAGCTAGACATTGCATGCAAGGAATGGGGTTTTTTTCAGGTTGGCATCTTCTTCTTCACCTTCCTTTTTCATTTGACTTCATGCCCATTCTTTTAATTCACCCCATAGAGATATATGTTATTGTTTGAATTTTCCTTGTTAACTATTATGAAATATTCATAAATGATCCCCTTTATAATATTTTTTATTAATTTGTTGAATTTTTTATAGTGTATCATGTATATAAATAATCGCAGAATAGTACGATCATTTTGCTTTTTATTTGGACGTGAATTATCTTATAACTAAACTTCCCCCTATGATTGATTATTGAATGTACCAACAATGATCAGTTCTATATATAATATAAATTCTGACTAAGTACACTTTTATATAAGAAAAGTTCGTAATTATTTGAGTTTTTAAAATAGTAATTTAAACTCGATTCTATGTGGTGGTAGATTTAAGTTAATTGATTTATATAATAATTTATTTTAATTTTTGTTGTTTTAAAAATGTTTTGTGTAATTGAACTCATATTTTTAAGAAACCGCTAAAAAATTACTATGTTCAATTTAACAAATTTAAAATAAATTTAACAAATATTAAAACTCAATTTCAACAATTCATCTATTAAACTAAAATAATAAAAAATATCGTCAATCTATCCAATAAAATTAAATAAACTAAACTTTAAATATAACTATATTTGTAGTTAAAAGATAAGAGAAAAGCAGTAATGCAGCATGGATCAGCCCATACTAAGCTCGTATGGCATGGGCAGCAGACATCGTTGAGTCAAGCTATAAAAAATTAAATTATTAGGGATTCTCTGTTTTTGTTTTTGTTTTTGTTTTTAATTTTCAAAATTATATTTTAAAATAATTTTAAAATAATTTTTTAAAAGAAAATAAAAACAAAATTTATGTTAACAAATAATTTTCTTTTATATTTAAAAAGAAAAACTGTTTTTTTTTATATAAAAAATAGCAGACTTTTAAATTTAATATCAAAATTCTCATTTTTTTAAGTGTATTCAAGTTGATCCATTAGGTCAGTTTATTTTACCGACTCTATTCTCATTTTTTGTCATTTATGTTGATATTACACATACTAACAAATAAACATGGGTTCAAGTTATAATTTTACACTTATTCTTTTTATATTTTGTTTTACTTTCATACCATTTATTATATATTAACAATAATTAATTCAAGTTTAATTCTTTATATATATATATATATATAGTAGAAACTCTTTAAATTAATAATGTCAGGACCGAAGAAATTTATTAATTTAGAGAGTTATTAATTTATCGATAAATTAATAATTATTAATTTAAAGAGTTTTTAAGTAATTATACTGTACATACCAAACAAAAAGGCAAATTAATTTATGCCTCTTAGAATTACGTTGCAGCGAACCTTGAGACTCAACGTACAGTAAATTAGTAACTACACTACATATGCATTGGAAATCAATAATGACTTTTGAAGTACAGTAAATGTAAACAAGAAGAACAAATGTGTTCAATGTATTCTTAAGCAAGTTTGACATATATAAATTACATGAATGTGTTAGAGTATTCAAACCATATCTCACAAGATGGCTTCTCATCTAAAAGGTGTTGCAAAATCAACTATATCAGATCAAATACGTAAGGAGTTGTGTGAGTATAAGAGAGATAATCCTGCAAGCACACAAAAAGACTTACAGAGATGGCTTGAAGGAAAATTTCAGTTGAAAGTTAGTTAAGGAACAATATCAAACATACTTAAGCGGTCAGATGACTATCTCTCTGCTAAAATAGAAAAGGGAAGAGCAAAGATCAAAAGACACAAACCAGCAAAATATCTTGACATGGAGAAGGTTGTTTATGAGTGGTTTCTCCAGCATCAAGAACGTGTGAATATCACAAGAGAATTAATTTTGCAGAAGGCAAGAGATACAATGAAACTCGTGTACCCTCATGATGATTCAGATTTTAACTTCTCTATAGGATGGCTTGAGAAATTCAAGCACCGACATGGCATAAAATCATTTTATCGTTTTGGCGAGAGTGGGTCTGTTAATATACAAGACATGGAGCAGAAATTGGTATCGATTCGGGAGAAAATTGACCAGTTCCCTATGAAAGATGTTTTCAATATGGATGAAACTGGGTTGTTTTATAGACTACAAGCTGATCATTCACTGGCAACAAAACAACTTGAAGGAAGAAAACAAGATAAAGAAAGGCTGACGATAGTTATTTGTTGCAATAAAAATGGCTCTGAAAAAATCCCTCTATGGATTATTGGGAAATATGCAAAGCCTCGTTGCTTCAAGAATGTCAACATGAATAGCTTGAATTGTCAGTATTGAGCTAACAAAAAAGCATGGATGACTACTGTGCTTTTTGATGAATATGTTCGTTCATTTGACCAAATGATGCATGGTAGAAGAGTTCTACTTGTGGTGGATAATTGTCCAGCACATCCAAGAAATATTGAAGGGTTAAGAAACGTTGAGTTGTTCTTCTTGCCACCCAACATGACATCAAAGATTCAACCTTGCGATGCTGGGATAATAAGAGCTTTCAAGATGCATTACCGTAGAAGGTTTTATAGCAAAATATTGGAAGGTTATGAGGTGGGACAATCTGATCCAGGGAAGATAAATGTCCTTGATGCTATTAATTTGGCAATCCCAGCTTGGACGATAGATGTTTGAAAAGAAACAATAGCAAATTGCTTCTGACACTGTAAAATTCGTTCAGATTGTGACGTTGTAAGAAATTTGGATGAATCCACTTTTGATGAAGAAACTCAAGACCTCGAGACTATGATCAATCAATGTGGCTATCGTAATAAGATGGATATCGACAATCTAATGAACTACCCAGGTGAAAATGAAGCATGTTCGGAGGTTCAGAGTTTAGAAGATATTGTGGGTACTATCATTGAGAATAATGCAGAGGATGACGACGAAGATGATACAGTGTCTTTGGAGCCTGTTACGCGAAAGAAAACACTTATGGCATTGAACACTCTTCACAACTTTATGATACAATACAAAAATACAACACCTGAATTATTGGATGTAATAAGAAAAGTTAGAGATGAGCTCCAAATAGACTTGAACTTTAAAGGAAAACAGACAACTATTGAATCATATTTCAATAGAGTGTAATATATTTTTTTCAGTTTCTATGAATTATTAATTTATGATTTTCTTGGGACCGAAAATTATAAAGGAATCTCTCAAAAAATTATTATCTTATTATTTTATCGAGTTTTTCAATTTTTTATATTAGCCCAAGTTGGGACCGGATAAATTTATTATTTTAGAGAGTTTATTAATTTATCGAGTATTAATTTAAAGAGTTTCTACTATATATATATAACCCTTGCCTGAAATAACTAGCCCTACCGATATGAGGTAGATATTTTCAATTTTCTGAAGATTATCTGCTAAGAAATTAAAATTCTTTTACCCATTATTTCACACTTCAAAGTGCGATAGGAAATGTTAATTTTTATGTAGATTTATGTGGGCCGGTTTTATCGATTTCTGTGAGTATTACTTTTTTTTTCTTTTTAATATTGCATACGAATTTTTCAATCTTAGGTATTCGATGTATAGGTTTAGGGTAAGTATTCTTTTTCAAAAAAGTATAAAAATTAAAAATGAAAAAAAAAATATTGTGCATAAAATGAAAATATCGCTTTGCATATTGGAGCATCGACACAAAATAATAGTTGGCATCCTTTTCATAATATGCTTGTTATCATGTTAATAAACTTACAAAAATATTTTATATCTTTCTTAATTGATAATATTTTTTTAACATCTTAATGATTAAAAAATATTAATACCTTTTTTTATTCTGATTTTATCTGATAAGAGTGATATGTGTGTACTTAAAATTATATATCCATTTTATTTCACTGGTTCATTGTTTCAAAGGGAAATAAGGTGATTCTATAACGCTATTTAATCTATAAATTTGTGGTTCTGTATAACAGTTGATTAATCATGGAGTTAGCATCGAATTGGTGGAAGATGTAAAGAGAGGTGCAAAAGAACTCTTCAATCTTTCAATGGAAGAGAAGAAAAAGCTTTGGCAGAAACCAGGAGACATGGAGGGGTTTGGTCAAATGCTTGGTTATAAAGAGGGGCCATCAGATTGGGTAGATTTGTTCTACATTTTCACACTTCCATCACATTTAAGGAAACCCCATCTATTCTCTAACATACCACTGCCATTCAGGTGCTCTTTCAATCTTCTGTTTCTTTTTAATTTTTCAATAAATTGTTTGTTAATTATTAAAAGAAATATATTCATTCTTTAAATTTCTTGTCTGGTCACAGTTTTATAGTTCTGGGTAAAAACATAGCATTTAAATTAGTTTGAAAATATAAGTTTGTAGTCTATTAAGCTTGTTTGGCAGATATAATAAAAGAAGGAAAATGTTAACCTTAATCCTGAGGGATAAAAATAAATTAAACAACTAATAATAATAAAATTTTATTTAAAAAATAAATATTTATTATGTTTTTATAATTTTAATGTAATAAATATGCATATTTATAAATATTCAAGAATTTAGGTTAACAAAAACCTATAACAGAATAGGATGATAATTTTTTCTTATCCCGTTGAATTCTTAGTACTTGTTTAACAAATAAAGTATGACCAATTTACCCTATAAACTTATGATATCTTATTTCTTTAGTGAAATTTTTATGTTGTAAATTATTTTAATTAGAACTAGATAGAATTTGATAATCTAATATATTTATTTTTTATTCTGATATGCATTGTAAATTTAGAAAAAATGTTTATCTTACTTTTATTTTATTACATTTTTATTTAACTCTTTTTTTTAATCTTATATTATTCAACAATCAGGCCCAAAAGAAAATAGAACATGACTTTTGAAACCTAATCCCATGTGAAGTGAGTCTCACTCCACAAGTGTGCACACATTTAAAGTTAGGAGATTAATTGCCACTGTTATCTAGTACCTAAATATTACACTTACAATAGTTAATGTTGGGTGCTGCAGGGAAAACTTAGAAGATTATTGTATCAAGATGAAAGACCTTGGCATCAACATTTTTGTTCTTATAGGGAAAGCTCTTGGCATAGAAGAAAAGGAAATTAAAGAGTTATTGGGAGAAGGAGGCCAATCAGTAAGGATCAATTACTATCCTCCTTGTCCCCAACCAGAAAATGTTCTTGGCCTTGGGGCTCACACTGATGGATCTGCTCTCACCATCCTTCTCCAAGCCAATGAAGTGGAAGGCCTCCAAATAAAAAAGGATGGAAAGTGGGTTTTAGTTGAACCTCTCCCAAATGCTTTCATCATTAGTCTTGGAGATGTTATGGAGGTAAGTTATTAAAATTTAGTAGTCATATTGAAGGAAAAACAGTCTTCTCAATACATGCAGCAGAATTATAAGGTTTTATTTAGTGTCTAAAATTTATTTTAAAGTAATAAAAAAATTAGAACAAATAATCTAGTGTAATTCTTGAAATTTATAAATCTCTTTAAAAGGATGAAGAGCCTATGCATATTCACATCAAAACTAATTTTTTCTTTCAATTAGTGAAATCTCTAATGAAGCAAATGTTGTGTAGCAAAATATGTTATGCTATTTTTAGCATAGAAGATGTTATTCATTCCTTTGAGATAGGAACAGGATATCAAGAGTCCATTTAATTTGACTCTATCAACTAAACCACTTCTAGTTTTTATTTTGTCCTTTAGCCATTTAAAATAGTTTGACTATGTCATACATAATCCAAATCTACTCATTGTCTAACCTTATCTCTTTTACCAACATTTTAAATGTAGGTTATAAATAATTATAGGCAAATTTTAATGCCATAATTTATATTCTAAATGCATGAAAGATCGGCCTTATTTACATGTTATTTGTATTTTGGTACCAGCAAGAAATACAATAATATTTTACTTAGAAGAAATTTATTCATTTGATTAAATTAAATTTTCTAATTTAATAATTTTTTAACAAAGATTAGAACACTTGTTTGTTGTTATCCTGTAAGTTTAATGCTGATTAAACTAATTGATTACTTCTTCTAACATCCAAGATTAGAATATTTGTTTGTGTGTGATCCTTATAAATTCATCAACAAACACCACCTAAAGTAAACTACATCTTGAAACATAAACCTACAATTTAGACAACACAATAGAGGTCCAGCCTACAAAATATAATTATTTTTAGGTGTACCTGAAACAATACAAAATACCCAATCAATTTGCAGATCATATTTCTTTCAAACAAACTAAAGGTTCTGCTATCCATTTATAAAATGTGAAAATAAAGCCTCTCAGTTTTGCCTTGAGCCAAGACCATGATCTAACTTGTATCATTTCGAAAATAGCAACACAATTGACATCATCGTATCTAAAAAGCTTGTTGTTCCTGCATAGCCAAATTGACCAACAGATGCAAACGAAACTGAAAACCAGGCCAACTCCCCGTTACCATTCAGCTGCAGCATGTTAAGCTGTGAAAAATGTTTCATACAGTTCCTTGATTGGGCTATTTGAACTCCTAACCAGTTGTAACACACAATACTTTGTGCAAGAAATAGCATCCAAAGAAGAATTGTTCTATTCTTTCATGTTCGAAGTCACACAGTGGGTAAGAGCAGCCTGAATCGGTTGATATAATTCTTCTGCTGTAAAGATTTAATTTTGTAGGAATTACGTCAAGAAACAAGCATATCATTTAGTTTTACTTTAAATTATTTTAAATTTTAAAAATAAATGACAAATTATTTCATTAGATATTATTTTCTCTAATTACAAAACATACATAAATTATGTTTTAATTATCATTATTCAATCAAAACTAAAATTTTACTGTAATAATGTGTGCCAATTTTTTATATCAATCTATTACGTAGATTCCTCAGATAAAACTTTAAATTTAATCAGAGAACAATACCAAAGATATTTATATTACAGAAGCTGAATTTTATCACTTTCTAAACTGTTGAATTATTTGGATTGTCACCCTTTTGAATTTTGATATATTGTTCAATCGGCAGGTAATGACAAATGGGATATATAAGAGCAATCTACATCGAGCAATAGTAAACTCACAGAAAGTGAGGCTTTCCATTGCTACATTTTATGGACCAGGATGGAGTGGAAACATAGGTCCAGCACCAACCCTTGTCACTCCAAAAAATACAGCATTGTTCAAAACAATTGGCGTAGCAGATTTCTATAAAGGATACCTTTCACCAGAGCATTTTGGGAAACCAAAACAATATATAAATGATGTTTTAAGGATCCAAAATAAGCACCTCAAAGGCTAGCTGCTAGCTAGAAGCCTAGAATGGAATTTGCTTGTAAACCTTTACAAATTATATACCATAATGAGTTGATTTCAAATACAATATAATGTAACTTCTTGTACCAGATGGTATAAAATGTTCCAGTGCGACAAACCCGTCTTAATGCTCATCCAAGTTAATATATGTGTGACCAATCTTTAATGGAGACGACATATCCAAGGCATTTTTTACCTTTATTTATTCCTATGTAACTTGGTCTCGATCCTGTCGTGTCCAATCATGTAGTTACAAATTAAATAAAATGGTGAGAAAAATATATTTGTTTGTCCCAGATTTGTTAGTTGACAGTGTCTGTGACTCAATGAAAGAACTACGCTCTCTAATGATGTAACTCTAAGGTACTTAGTTCGGTTAAAAGTTATACAAAGTATTAATTTTTGACATGCTTAATTGATTCTTTGGTAATAAAAAATTTGTCGTTTTTTATTTGACTTTTAAAAAAATTTTAAATAAGTTTTTTCTAAATTTTATTTTTATAAAATCTGTTGGTAATTCGTTATTTCTTTTTAGTATATGTACTTATATAATATCTAATTTAACTTGTATAATGTAATACAAAGTTAATGTGAATTATGATGTGACGTCTTTGTTTTTATTTTCTTTAAATTTTTAAATTTGTTTTATTATATAAAGAATGATGAAATAGTGTAACGATTTACTAAAAGAGGGGTCGAATGAAAATAAAAAATAATTTTTGGGGAATTAGATTATTATTTTAAAAAAAAGATCAAATGAAGAAATCATGAATTTTATAAGAATCAAAACCTTATTTAAGCCATTTTTATGTGTACAGTATCAATCCAAATCAGTGACTTGATTCAATCTTGAGTTGATAAATGAGAGAGAGTTATTTTGGGGTTCCATTTACTTGAGAGATTTATTCTTAAGGTTGTACTAAATTATGAGTCAATTTAGATATCGTATAAAAAATAATAAAATAAATTAAAAAATTAATAAAAGAGGAACTATGTAAAATGTAAAATTAATTTTGAGGGATTCGATTAAAAAAAGGACCAAATGGAGAAATCATGAAGTTTTTAAACATCAAAACCTTATATTTAAGCCATTTTTATACGCATAATATCACTCTAAATCAGTTCCTTGATCCAATCTCAAACTAGGTTGATAACTGAGAGAGAGTTTAACTATTACAAGCACGATTTCTATTTGGGTCCATTTACTTGAGAGATTTATTCTCAAGGTTGTACCAAATTAAAGAAAATAAATCTAACCATGTAGCTAAATTGGGAGAGTGGTCTAACAAAGTTTCTAAACAGAAATGAAGAACAAGGGTTATATATATATGTATAAGAAATCTTAATATTTGAGATTTATGTAATTTATATAGAGACATGTCATATGTTCATATAGCAAAATCTATGAATTGTTATCTTCAGCAACGTAATAATTCTCATAATTTGGGTGATTTCAATAACATTTTTTAACAACTTTATGAAATGCTAGGCGCACTCAAAATTACTTACTTTCTCTCGGTATGAATTTGATTAGAAGAAAGGCCATCACCAATATGCAGGAAACATCTTGCTTGTTATTTGACTGTCAATAACATTAATATATCACTAATTCATTGTTTCTCGTTAAATGAATTAATTTCTATAATGTGGTGTATAGATATTTAGGAGGCCTTTTAACCTTTAACTGCAATCGTAGATGTATATATAACAAGTAAAAACATAGCAAACATTTATAAGTGTAACTTTGTTCTTTCTTTGTTCTTATTAATTGTCTCTATTATTGAAACTATTTCTTCCAAACTTGTTCTACAAGTAGGGGGGGAAAAAGCTGAAACAGTGTCATAAATAAAAAAAAGAGAAGATTTCGTAACCATAAAAATAAAATAGAAACATTGGTGCATTGTAGGTCATACGTGAGAGTCTCACAATCACTAATAAAAGGAGATAAATGATAGAGAAAAGTATAATGTATTTGAAGGAAACACACAACCACTTTAATATATTATTAAAAAATAAAAAAAATTCAAATGCAATAAATATGATCATATAATAAGATTAAATATCATTTAGAATACTTGTTTCTCCACAGCAAATAATATAATAAATGACTTAATAAATTATTACTAAAAATTTATGCCAAATATACTTGAATTGATATTATATCAACTTAATATTTTGATATATTTTACAGTTTATATTTATATATTTTATCATTATTTTATTAAAATTTTACATTATTTTTATATTAATTTTACATTTTAACACGCAAATGTCATAGTTAAATTTTGGATACATTTTAAACTTAAATCGTAATAAGCACGCATATACTTTAGCAATTAACATGATTGTATATATTAGTGTATACAACTATACTTTTTTTTAGAAGAATTGAATTAAGAGAATTCTTAAAATTTTAAAATCCTATTTAAAGAATTTTGAGGACTATAATTTGGGTATCTTGGTTTTAACCTGTTGTTGATGACTTTTGGAGTTTTGGAAATGTGTATTGAGTTCAAGAATTTTTTTTTTCATCTCTTCTCATTTAAAGACTACTTTAATTTGTGTTTGTTTCTCAGAATGATTATAGATTATTTTATTATTATTTTAGTTTTCTATTATATTACGTCTTAGCTAAATCTAAAGTTAAAGCATTGGTAGATCCTTTACATGACTCTATATGATCTTTATGTTTGATAATAATTTTAGTTTTCTTTATTGATTGGTATTTATCTTATTATGTTATATTTGTATGTTTAGAATTAATAATTAAGTGAATCAAACTTAGTTTTTCTCTTTCAATTATTATTAAATTAACAAGTTCATAGGCTCTTTATATTTTTTTTTCCTTTTATCTTACATGACTAGCAAAAGTAATAATTCAGAAAAAAGATTATTAATATTACATAATCATTAAGTGTTAATAGATTTAATATGAGTACTTGATAATTATAAAAAATCAGAATTAGAATTAATCTAAAAGTAAGTATATAGAAGTATAAAGGTGAAACCATATATCCTAAAATTTATCTTGAATAATTTATTATCATAGGTTGTTTTGTTTTATTTCCTTTTAATTATTTTTATATCTGAACCCTTCTTTATTTTGTTTTATTACGCGTCCTTCTAATTCAAACAATTAAATTAAGATATTCTTAATATTTGAGAACAATCCTTGTGGACGATAATCTAGAAATTTATTTTATAATCATTTATTAGTTTTCGACGAGTAAACTTATACACAAACAAGTTTTTGTCATACTTAAGATTTGCTTATACTCAAGCAAAGTCCTAGTTAAGAGAAAGAAAATAACTTTAAACTTATCATTTCAACAAGGAACTCAAGACACACAAGATCAAAAGAACAAAAAGAGTAATATCATTGAGTATAGATAATCAAAAGGTTTTTCAATTAAAATCGTATATTCTCCAACTTTTCACTCAAACATTGAACTAAAGTAGTCTACTTTCCTTTCTCTTTAAATGTTTAGGGAGAAAAAGGAGATATTACTCAAATCTTCTAAAAAGAATGTATTACCATAAGCTTGATCATAAACTGACTCTTCGCTAAGTAAATTAAATCCAAGTAAGAATCATGAGTTATTGTTCAAGTTGTAATGCGACCAAAAAAATTTTAATAGTCAAAGGTAAAATAAATGAAAGGAAAAGATAAACAAAAAGGGTTAAATCAGAAAAGAAATCAACAAATGACTCCTGAATTTAAATGAAAGTTTTGGAGTATCCTTTTCAATTTCTAATCAATTTCTTTATTCCTCATTTCTTTTGTTCATTTGTAACTATTTTTCTTTTCTTTTTTCGTTTTGTTATTTTCATATTTTCTTTAATTTTTTCATATAAGAGAGTAAGTAAAGGAAAATATATATAATAAAGCTAACTACTTCTTACACATTTCAACTCAATTACTCCATTCATAAACTCAAAGTCATAAAAAAATATTTTATATAATTTAATGCAAGGGACTAAAAGAAAATTAATAAAACTCAAAGTGGACAACTAGGTATATCTCAAACACTACTAGAAAAGTGTTATTTACAAACAGTCATTACAGAAATACAGATAGATTTACAGATGAATTTTTAGATTTTTATTTTTTTTAAATTTTTTGAAAAATCCGTTTATAAATCTGTCTGTATTACAGACAGATTTTGTAATGGTCATCTGTAGTTGGCTCGTCATTTGGCATGAAGTATTATAGACATGAATTACAGACAGATTTTTTCGTCTATAATTTGAAAATGGGAGGGAAATTTGGAGTGAGAGTTACAGATGAATTTTTCTGTCTGTAAATATTATCATTTTTGACTAACTTTTCATCTGGAAATTTACAGATAGATTTTTCTGTCTGTAACTGTATTTGATGAATTTATAGATGGATAAATTCGTCAAATGCACCATTTTATTAAACCATTTACAGACAAATTTTTCCGCCTGTAATGTGCAAAACACATAAATCTGCGCCTCCTCCTTCTTCTTCCTCTTTTTGCATAATTTCCTCTCTTTCTCGCCTCTCTCTCTCTGTCTCTATCTAGGAGCTTCAGTTTTTTGGCCTTTGCGAATGATTAGATCATTCATTTGAAAGATAATTTGCATCATTGTATTCCTGTACGAAACTGTAACTTTTAATTAGTTTAGTTTTTTTTTTATTTTTTGATGTATTTTAAAGACTTAAAATTTCTAAGATAGAGTTGTAGGTTTGGAGATTGTATGACTGGGGAAAAGGGCGTAGAGGTTCTTCTTCGAACCTGATTATTGTGTGTTGTGGGATTGTTTGTGTTTGCGGAGTTTGTAGAATATGCATGTTGTAGAGTTATAAGGAGATGTGCTCTAAAACAATTTAAGATTGTAATAAGTATGTTTTTTATGCATTAATTAATAGATTGTTACATATATAGATTATGTGTAAAGAAAATTTAGATTTTTGTATTAAGTACGTGTAAACAAATGTAAGGAAATATTCATATATTAAGAGAGATTTTGCGAAAATTTACATTAAAAATTTATTTGATTAAGTGTAAAGAAATATAAGAAAATATTCATATATTAGAGGAGATTCTGCCAAAATTTACATTAGAAATTTCTGTAATGTAAAATAAAAGATTGATACAATATTGTGTATTTTTGTATTTGGTCTCTAAACATGTATTATATTTGATTTAGATATGGCACGTAAAGATAAGAAAGGTGTTGTTCAACATCCTAATTGTGGCAACACTCCTTTACCCACCGCTCCCACTTCCCCCTCTACACCAGCAAAATGAGGAGATGAGGAAGACTAAGGAAAGTGTATGGAAGAATAAGTGGGCGAAGAAAATAGAAAAGAAGATAGATAAGAAAGTGGCATTGAGGATGCAGAGGGAGGTGTAGCAATAGATGCAACAACAACATATGTAAATGCAGCAGATGCAGGCATACTTTGAGCTCATGAAAGCAAGCACCTCTACACCTCTTTCTCCTCCTCCTTCACCAGCTCCAACACCACCAATGTTCAGTTTCATGCGTCATTCCTCCTCTAACTCCGCTTCTATTGATGGTGATACTTTTTCGGAAGATGATCACATCGATTATTTGTAATATAAAATGTTATTTTATTTTTGATATTATTTTTTTAGATGTTTACTTCTTCATTTGTAATGACATTTTAATTTTACATTTTATAAATAATTTCTGATTTAAATATATAATTTTGTAGTTTTTATTATATTTATAAATTGTGATAATTAGGAACAACGAGGAATAATTATGTTGATAAAAAAATGAAATAATTTTTTTTAAAATTTCATAAATGAATTACAGACAAATTTTTTTGTCTATAATTTACAGATAGATTTTTTGTCTGTAATTTACATATAGATTTTTTCATCTGTAATTATTTATCGACGCGCATATTATTAGACAGATTAGAATCATCTGTAAATTTGTTTGTAATGCTAAAATTTGTCTGTAATAATAAAAAAAAATTGTGTGTAAATCCGTCTATATTTGCAGGTTTTCTAGTAGTGAAATATGTTGAAGGCAAAAAAAATAATAATCTTAATATGTCTCAATCATATTAAAAATGTACAACCAAAATAATAGTCTCAAATCAATTACAAGTCAAGTTATAGAACATAAATCCTAAAGCGATAGTCATACAAAATAATAAAAAAAGGGGTATCATCAATTAAATTAGGATAAAAATTCTCATAAAAGTTCAAAAATTCACATTTGTGAGTTAAAGTTTAATATAGAGTAAAAAAAATAAAGAATATAACTAATTAGCAGTTTCTAAATGAAAATCATAATTTAGTAATAATTACTCAAAATGTTCTTCAATCTAAAAAAAATTGAGTTTTCTTAAGATAAAAGTTACAAATTATCGTATAAAAGGAAAGGACAGAAATTTACTGAAAATCATGCAATAAGAGAAGTATTATTGGAAACAAGTGAAAAAAAACAAAAAGCAAGATAAGAAAAAATTGGCAAAGAATTTCAGTGTGTGTAAGTGTAATAATGTCTTAAATGATTGAATTAACATATAGTAAATTAACTTTATTTAAAAAGTGAATTACTATTAAATTAAATGAATTTAATTGAAACTTTCACAACATTAAAATTCTAAAGACTTTTATATATATATGCTATTAAATTAATTGAATTTTATAGAAGGTGACTTCTACCTTTATGAAAGTAAAGAAACAACAAGTGTATTTCTCTATATTATTAGCAAAGATACTACCTTTGATAAATATTCTATGTTTGGTCAGAAAAAGGTAATAGAGGTTCAAGCAAGATTTCTGGTGAAGAGTTTTTCACCAAAAACAAAATAAAATTGGAATTGGAGTAACTTGATGTGAAAATCACTTTCTTGCATGAAATTCTAAATGAAAAAATTTATATGTGATTTCCTTAAAGCTAAAAATGAGAATTATGTATGTTTGTCGAAAAAATCTTTGTATGGCTTGAAATAAAGTTTAATGTTTATTTATGATTTCTCATAATTCTATTTATAACAAATTTGATAATTGTGTCTACAGTGAGATGTTATAAGATGATTCCTTTATTGTTAATTGTAGTCAAGAGTGAGCCCCATATTAATGATCTAGAAGTAATGTTAAGGAGTGTGTTTGAGACGAAAGATTTGGATACAAATAAGAAGATTTTAGGTATGAAAATTTGGAAAGACAAGAGTCTAGATCTATTTCATGTATCTTAAAAAAATGCATTGAAAAAATTAAAGCTTCATTGTCACTGTTGCACCAAGTTGTGTGCTTGAACCCTTGAGCTACTATTAGTGATTTACTTGCATTAATCTCATTCTTTTTCTCTTTTTTTCCCATTCTGTTATGCCAACTAAGCTTTTGTTCTTTTGCTCATTTTCATTTTTTCCTCAAGTACTTTCAATTCTCACTTTTTCATTCACTTCTATTAGTTTCTACCCTATCATCATTGCACCAAGCTCTATGCTTTTGTTAATACAAAGCTTAGATATTACAGTGTGGAAGCTTTGTTTTTTCTTTCATTGAATGTCAGTAAATATTAGTAAATAAAGTTGTGGCTGAACGTGATTTCTCTCTTAGTTTGATTTTGACATTGTTACTTTGAAGTGAATAAAAAAATTTAGTTTAATTGTGATTTGTACAATATTTTAGATTAAAATAAGTTACGAGAGATGGAAGAAATTTTGAAAAAATATAAGAAACTAGTGAAAGATAACTATTTTTTTTGTAGTAAATAGTAATGAAATACAAACAATGGTGTTTTTTCTTTAAAGTTTCATGTTGCTAACATCTATCATGTGATTTCTTTTTTCTGTGCCATAAATTCTTCATTATTTTACTAACTGCAAGAAAAAAAAACTATATGGGAATCGCAAAAAGCTATTTTTTTTGTTTTAGTCTGTTATTATTTGTCTTACATGCTAATTATTTAAATCTAATATAATATTCCGTGAGGTTTAAATTTTTTTCATTTTATTAATTTATTTTTAGTGTATTATATAGTATTGCAAATAACTTTTAAGTATTTTCATAATTAAACCGTTAAATTATAAATTTATATATCCACTAAACCAAAGAATGCAGATTTAAAACATTGATTGTAAATCAATAAAACCATTATATTTTAGCTGGCTACCACACAAATTTTAAACCATGCATTAAAAACATACTTGGAAATGGAAAGTTGCAATTAAGGAAGAAAATGCCAGATAACATTTTTGGCTGAACCGCGAAATACGCCACCCCAGCTAAGCCATTTGCAAAGGACTTAATAATAACATTTGTCTTCGTCAAACTTCTATTTGGAGTGCGATACACGGTTTCATTATTAGCAGTAATTTTTTCATACCTTGTATATAAATGTTATTAAATTAAAAATAAAGATATATTATAGATATAAATTTAAAAAATATATACAATTATCAATAATAAATATTATATTACAAATAAAGAGATAATTTGAATTAAAAATTAAATTATAAAAAATAAACATGTAATTTAAAAGCATTTAGTGTGATGAGAAAAAAAAACCAATTCCTATAAAATATTTAAATTTTTAAAAGAAATTAAAAATGTTCTTAATTAAGAATCCATACACGCAAGTTATATATATAAGATAAATGTTATATTATATTGGTGGTCAACGAATATATAGCGCAGGCTCAACTGTCCCTTTAAGAAAATCATTTAAAATTCCACAACCTGCCTTAAAAAAATCTGTGTCAACGTCCAAACGTATGCATATATATGTCACACATATTTGTCATCATTCTCATGTCTTGAATAGTTGAGAGAGAGAGATAGAAAAGGAAAGTATTTATCTAAGCCTTTGAATTTGTAGAGTGTATCGATCAGATATGGAACCAGAAACAGCAGAGGGAGCCTCTTTTGTTGTTTCTTCTGTGAAAGAAGTAGCAAAGGAGGCACTAACCAAAGTTCCAGAGAGATATGTTCGTTCAGATATTGCTATTAACCCTCCAATTTCATCTAACTCGTTGCCTCTGCTCCCTGTTATCGACCTGAATGAGTTATTGTGTGAGGATGTGAAGGGTTCTGAACTGGAAAAGCTAGACCTTGCATGCAAAGAGTGGGGTTTCTTTCAGGTTAATTACTATCTACTATCCACTTTCTTTTCTATTTAATGACATGTATTTTTTTTCTCTTTTTTCTTATATCTCCTATTAATAAGTTTAATTTAAATTTTTTAGTTATAATATAGTTATGCATATTTATTTAGTATGAAAGTCCTTATCAATTTTGTTACAAGAATTTTTTTTTTGAATTTTTAATTAATTAATTTTATGTATATGTTTTTTAAATTTTTGTGTTTGCAAACATTCATTTTTTTATTTTTTTGTTCTGTCAATTTCCTGACATCGAATATTTTATAACATGGAAAAACCAAATGAAGAATTTAAATATTATAAATGATATATTAAAAGATAATAGAATTTATAAAGAAGTAAATAAAAATAAAAAACATTATATGGGTACGTATTTTTAATTTCAGATTAATATATAATAAATATTTTTCTTATTTATTAAAAATAAATGTAATTTTCTTAGAAAAAATAAATAAATGAAATTTTAAGCTTTTCATTTTAAAAAATTGGAGAAAATAAATAAAAAATAAAAAATTTAAATTTAAAACCTGGTTGGACCATGAAAAGTCAAGAAATGTATAAATAAATGTTAATAAAGGATAAAATGAAGTCATTAAATTAAAATATTTTATTATCAGAAGGAAAAACATTAGTATTATACATACAAGGACACTTGTACTCAGAACCATGCATCTATTAATTTGATTTCACGAGTTCATTGGCTACAAACGAAAGAAAGTTACCATAAAAGGAAGATAACAAGGCAATGAATTCTAAAAAAGTCAAAGAAGAATGCTAGGTTTGTGAGCATAATTGCACCAAAAGAGAGATCGAGTAACGCAACTCTGAAATTGTGCTTTTGCATAACAGTTGATTAATCATGGAGTTAGCATTGCATTGGTGGAAGATGTAAAGGTTGGTGCTCAAGAACTCTTCAATCTTTCAATGGAAGAGAAAAAGAAGCTTTGGCAGAAACCAGGAGATATGGAGGGATTTGGTCAAATGATTGATGTTCCCAAAGATGAGCCTTCAGATTGGGTGGATATGTTCTACATTTTAACTCTTCCATCTCACTTAAGAAAGCCCCATCTATTCCCTAATCTACCACTGCCATTCAGGTGCTCTTTTTATATTCTTTTTCTCCTCTCTTTTTTATTTCAATTAGTTGATTTAAGAGGTTTGTTAACACTCAATTTTAATATCAAATTTAAACATTTACAATAATAATTTTTAAAAAATTTATTACATTGAAGATAGAAATATAACAATACTTTTAATAAATATTACTATTACTAGTTGTTAAATTTAATCTTAAGAGCTACAGTTAACATTTTCTTAATTTTTAAATGTTAATTATTATAAAAATTTATGAACAAAAACTACTTTTATTTAGAAATTGTAGCCTAAATTGATAGGGTGAAAAAAATACCCATACCCATAAACATTTGCAGATGTACCTATAATGAATGCCTCTATATTCATAAAATAGATGGGCACAGATAATATACTACTTGCCTCACAGATACTTACATACTCATAAAATATATTTCTTACTAAATATATTTAAAATAATATTATATTTTTATCTTTTATAATGAAATACATTTTATTTTATATTATTTAGTAATGATACTTTTAATATATTAAAACGTAATGACATTATATAATGTCAATTGATAATATATAATATGATATCATAGAATACTATCTTATAATTTTTTATATTTTTAACTTTTAATATATATATATATATATATATATATATATATATATATAATTTTCATCCAAAGAGACCATCCCATTGGTTTTTTTTAAGCCAGACCAAATAATGACAAATTAACTAAATTAATATCCAAGCCTTCTTTAACTTCCTTTAACCAAACCAAGGTGTTGAGTGAGATGAGCTACAAAATGCAACCAAGAATAAGCATTAATAGATCGCCATATTTGCGATGAGAATTTGCATGAGAAGAACAAATGCAATTAATGTTGACCCCTATTGGTCATTGCAAAGAGAACACATCATTAAGAGATGATCAATGATGACACATTTTCATTTTTAGTAAGATTCAACTTTGTTGGAATCCTATGAAATATCTTGTGCTATCTGATGAAATATTTTGTTGCCTACATGAACCATGCTTTGTCAAAAAGCAATGCTGATCTAATGGAGGAAATGCCATTCTTATCCATATTTCCGCCACCATGAATCTTGAACACCATTTTGGATAGGAAGATCATTGATGGATTTCAAAATATTGAAAATTGTGTTTCTTCCTAAGAGTACTAAAGAGTTTGTCTCCACTTAAACTTAAACTTCACGCACCATTCGTCCATTCCTCAACATTAACTATTATATTAGAGGTTAAATTATATTTACGTCTACTTTTTTATATATATATTTAATTTATTTTCTAATATATTTATTATGATATTAAATTTTTTCTATACTTTTTGCTGTGTCATAACTCTCCGATAATAGTATATTTTTTATTACGATTAGCCTCCATAAAAAGGTTTATTGATAGAAAATATTATAAAGGGATAAATTAGAAAAAAAAATATAGAGTAAAATATATTTTGTCAAATTATTTGTATCTTAAAAAATAGTGGACAGTCTGTTGTATAATGGTACTATGCTTGTCACTTGCCTACCGAAGAATCGTTCCAAAATATTATTGCAATTATATCTAAAGATAAAACTAAAAGGGTTCAAAACAGAATCAAACCGTTTTCAAACTATTAAAGTGATTTGAAAAAATCGAAAACCCTCTCCCACCCAATGAACGCATGGAGTTATAAAATCTTGTTTCGTGAATCATCTGAAAATGACAGTGCATGATAAGTTAGTGTTGGGCACTGCAGGGAAAATTTAGAGGCATATTGCAAGGAGATGAAAGAGGTTGCAAACAAGATTTACGTTCTGATAGGAAAAGCTCTTGGCATAGAAGAAAAGGAATTAGAGTCATTAGGGGAAGGAGGGCAAGCAATAAGGATGAATTACTATCCACCATGTCCTCAGCCAGAAAATGTGTTAGGCCTGAAGCCTCACACTGATGCATCTGCACTCACTCTTCTTCTCCAAGCCAATCAAGTGGAAGGCCTCCAAATCAAAAAGGATGGAACATGGCTTTCTGTTAAACCCCTCCCTAATGCTTTCATCATTAGTCTTGGAGATGTTTTGGAGGTGAGTTGATGTCTTGGAAATTACTTTCACATGTTATAACTTCATTATGTTAATTAGCTTATATTTTGATTGTCATTTATGGTTTTATTATTATTTTTATACACAAATAGTAGAATAATGCATTGCTTTAGTGATATGTGTACATATTTTAAACTATTTTTTGTTATAATTTAATATTTTGTTATTTATAAAAAAAAATAACTTGATAGTTCATCATCTGTATCGAGATAATCATGCTTTAGGTATATGGTTTGATAGGTAATGACCAATGGGATATATAAGAGTACTGAGCATCGAGCAGTGGTAAACTCTCAGAAAGACAGGATATCAATAGCTACATTTTGTGGCCCAGAATGGAGTAGAAACATAGGCCCAACACCATCTCTTATTACTCCAGAAAGACCAGCATTGTTCAAAACCCTTGGTGTAGCAGATTTCTACAAGGGATACCTGTCACCTGAACATCGTGGGAAATCATATATAAACAATGTTTTGAGGATCCAAAATGAGAACATCAAAGGCTAACTCTAAGAATTGAATATCCTTGTAATGGTCGGAAATATAACAATTAAGTAACCTTGAAGACGTAATAATTTCTTTCTTTACAAATACAATCTGCAATTATTTATCAAAAATAAAATAATGTCATTTCTCTTTTTCTTTTAGTTACCACCAAAGAATCTAATTGCAATTTGATGTGTTTGATTCCTAGTCTTCAAGTAATAATTAATCCCTCAAAGACACCTTATAACTCAACTTGGTAAGCAGAGGTTAGTTCAAGATTTTTGAAGAAACTTATTATCCACTGTTCTTTTTCATTTTTTTTCTGTTATGTTGCTACATCCTGCAACACCAGTGTACTTATTAGCATCATCAGTAATCAAGCACACCCAACCTTTAGCAAAGGATACCAACCAATCATACTTATTATTTCATTATTTTTAGTCTACCATGTAAATTATGCCTCCCTATCATAATAACTCATGGATTAAATAATATTAACTCAAGGTCGAGCTACAATGGAGAGAGTAAAAGTTTTCTCTCTTGCTTTCTATAACAAATTTGTACCAAACAACTTGATCGACCGGGCCCTCCCTTAATACATGATCCACAGTCTTAATTTGGTCTGAACAACAACAATACAGGCTTCTAATTTCCCATTTATTCTTTCTCATTTGTTAACAACCTCCCCAACATAATCTACCACACAAAGAGCCAAATCTTTTTAGGACAGTGAAACCTCCAAATAAGACTTCAAATCTTCTCTTGCTACAATCTATGTTGCACAAATACGGGTATGGGTGATGGAGACATCAATACAAATGTAATAATGAATAACACAGCTGAATTAAATCTCTCAACTTGCAACAATTTACAAGAAATAACAATAAATATTACAACCACTAAAAACAACAAAATAGAAAGTAAAAACAAAGTTATTTAACGTGAAAAATTCTTTTAACATGAGAAGTAAAAATCACCCGTCATCCAGCCGAAGAAATAGCTTCACTATGATAAATAAATAAATAAATAAATAAAAGATACAATAAGTCACAAATAAGTGCACAAACTGTTCTTACAACTAGTTAATCAACCTCGACATTAAAGCTTACAAAATTAAGAACCAAGAAGATGAAAATATCCATAAAATATAGCAACTGTGAGAATATTATTAATTGCACCACAAACTTCATTTCATAGACCCATTTGTTCAAAATTAATAACCATACATTGTAAAATTGCTATCAAATTTTTAGCTCAATCTAATTATGAACGAACTTTGTAAACACAAATTTACTGAGACTACTAGAAGTTTTTGCAAGATGACTATATATTTTTTTTCTCACAAAGGTGACTGCTCTCTCACTCTAATGACATATTTCTCTTTGGCTATTGAGCCTCCATCATAGGGTGGAGAACGTGAGTATAACATCTCTTATAACTCTAAATACTCATTTCCACTTTTATAAGTGAGACAAAGTTTACTTGCTTATTTTGGACCTTTTCTCCACATATAATGCGAGCCTAGTACCCAAAATATCTTCCCTTCACAACTACATGAGATGACCACCAACCCGGCAATCTCACAAGTTTCAAATTTATTATACTATTTTCTTATAGTTTACTCTACCTCTAAATCACGAGGAATAGTCAAACTCAAAATAGCTCTAATGAACAATATCTTCACCATAATTGAGAAAATCTCAATAAAATCAATATTTTATTGGTTTAAAGTCTTTCACCACTAATCTAGATTATTCCATAGATGTGAAATTACTCCATGTTTCACCCTAAAGAACCACTTACTTTTTAATATCTTTCTCATAAGCAATTTCACCAAGTCACAAGTGTGATCATCATGCAAGCATATCATTTTATCTCGCATTGCATCTACTCACTGTTGCTTTTCTTCACTCTTCAAGCCTCACCAATACATTCAAGTTATCCACCATTAGTTAAGGTTACATATTCATCAGAAGAGTACTTGGTAGATTGTTTCATTTACCTGCTAGGTCTCCTAAGTTGTGATTAAGGTGGTTCAAGAGTATCACCAAGATTCTCATCTTGTGCCATCTTATGTTTCTTTTTAGCATCATGAACATGAATATTTAAATCATCTTCAAGTTGTTAATTATCAACATAATCATGTTACTCACCATTATAAACATTATTCTCGCAATATCTAAATCACATATAGGCATCTAAACTGGATCAACATCAAAAAGATTACTATCTTTCTTAGGTGTAGTCTTCTTCATCTTATCAATGTCTTGAATGGTTTAATCTTTCATAAAGTCTACATTACGACTTTTAACAAGTTTTTTTTCTCAATAAACATTACTAGAAACACGCAAATTATAGACGTGTTTTACAAACATTAATTTGTTAACTAGGAAATTATGTCGCTGACATGCCAAGAATTTAGTGAACATGTCAACGATTTGAAAGGATGTGGAGACATAAGGTAAAGTGATAACTCTACAATCATAGACTCTCGAATGGAATGACAATCAATCTCTATGTGCTTCACTCATTCATAGTAAACTGAATTTGTTGCAATTTGTATGGCACTTGTATTATCAGTATGTCATGGTGTTGGTTGTATTTTTAAGAAACCAAGCTAAAAAAGAACACCATACAATCAAATGATCTCAGAGCATGTTGTAGACATGGTGCAATATTCCACTTCATTGGATGACTTAGAGATATAGTCTTGTTTCTTGCATTTCCATGAGATTGGAGCATCACCTATAAACATTCACTAGCTCATAGTAGACTTTCTTGTGTCTGGACAACTAGCCTAATCAACATCACTATAGGCTTGTAGTTGTAGTGATGAATCAGTAGGGAAGGATAAGCTCCAATTGGAGGTGTCAATAATGTATTGCTAAAAGATGGAAATGCCTAAGAGATTGCATGAATTTGCTTACAATGTGGACAGCAAAAGAGATATCGGGTTGTGTGATTATTAGGTAAATTAAATTACTAATCACTTGTCATTATAAAGTTGAATCTTGTATGAAGTCACCTTCATCGCGTCAGTATTTGACATTAATTTCCATGGGAGTGTTAATAAAAGATGCATTAGTGAGACTAGAGAATAGGATTAGATCTTAAATATATTTGCATTGAGTTATAAAGAGGCCATTTTTTGATGATGTACTTCTACGCCCAAGAAGTAAGTAAGTTGACCAAGATCTTACATGTGGAAAGTTGAATGCAACAATTTCTTGATTTTACAGATAGGCTCTTGATTAGAATTAGTCACCACAATGTTATCCACATAAACAAGGAGTATCACAATTCCTTGAGAAGTCCTTTGTGTACAAAAAGAGGGATCATACTGACTTTGTGTGAAGGAAAAATTAAGTAAAGTTGTTCAAAATTTCTCAAACCATACTCTTGGAGCCTATTTCAATCCATGTAACAAATGCTTCAATTTGCAAACATTAGGTGATGAGATAAGCGTACCTGTAGGAAGTTTGATACAAACTTCCTCCTCAAAGTCACCATGGAGGAATGCATTTTTGACATCTATCTAGGGTAGTTGCCAAGATTCAAATGCAACAATGGCGAGAATAGTATGCACAATAGTCATCTTGGTGATAGGTATAAAGGTTTCATCATAGTCATGGTCAAAATTTTGCTTATTTTCAAGAAGAACCAATCTAGCCTTGTAACGATCTATAGATTCATTTGAGTGAAGCTTTATAGTGAATACAAACTTGCTGCCAAGAGGTTTAACAGATAAGGGACATGAAACAACGTCTCATGTTTGATTTTCTTCTAGCGCTAGAAGTTTTCTTTCAATGGCTTCCTGCCAACATGCATGCTCCATTGCTTGTTTATAGAAAGAAGGAATAGGGACAAATGCTAAAGTGGTTATGAAGGATGAAGCATACTTAGCTAGGGGTTTACAAATGTGAGAACTATGTCGTAAAGGTGTTGGTTCTTGGTGAAGCATTGAATCAAGAGGTAGAAAGTGATTTGGAGGGGGCCTTAAAGGTTCAATGGGTAATATGATGTGTAAAATTGGTGTTTGTAATACCAGCAGTGGAAAAGTAAGATTTTTTTTTATAGCAGATCAAATGAAAAACTTTAAAATGTGCATCTATTGACGATCTCTCGAGTCGTAAAATTTCTTCAATAATGTGAAGACTTCACGTGTATTCATATCGAGACTAATCTTTTTACGTCAACTCTTTGACTATGAAACCGCAACAAAATATAAGAAAGATAGGAATGAAACTCTATTGATCCCTTTTTGTTTTTCTTACGGCCTTAACGTGTAGCACTTTACTTAAAATATATAGTAATATATTTGCAACACTTTTACCAACCCTTGGTAGCTGCTTTTACCAACCCTTGGCAATGGTTTTTACCAATCCTAATATATTTGCTCCACTATCTTATAACAATTTGTGTTTCCTTATTTTGTCAATAACCCATAGATTAAGTCAATTGCTTGAACCGACAACATATGTACTTTCAACAATTAAATTTTAATTTGTTATCAAACAACAAACTATATTATATTGTTGTCTTACTATTAATATTCTTGGTGCTAGTAAAGAATATAATAATATTTCACCCAATGAGAAATATTATTTATTTGATAAAATAAATTCTACAATCTTAATTATCAAATAATAAAATTCTTCTTTTACAAAGATTAGAACACTCGTTAGTATGTGACTCCGTAGGTTCAATAATAAGTCGGTAATAAATTAATAATCATTAATTTATTAATCAAGGTTGGCATCTAGTGACACTCTTCAATGTTCGAATAGAATGAAATAATATATTTTACTTTCAAGAACTATTAAAAAATAATATAACATTTCCTTCTATTCTTACAGCTCTAAATTAACTCTAGAATATAGTATAATTTGCCAATACTCTAACAAGCTAATTTATCATGAATGACTTAAGAAAACTCATTTCTTCTTTCATTTAATTATCCTGGCTAAGGTCTTAATTTTAATAGAGCTCAAACTCATTACCTAGAGTTGATGGATCCCTTA